CCAAAGCCCCGTCCAGCCTGGCCTGGAACCCTGCCAGGGAGGGGGCAGCCACAGCTGCACTGGGAAACCTGTGCCAGGGCCTCACCACCCTCACAGGGAAGAGTTTCTTCCTTACATCTAATTTAAATCCACCCTCTTTCAGTTTAAAATCACTACATCTCCTGATCAAGAGTCCCTCCCCACCCTTCCTGTAGCCCCTTTAAGCCCTGGAAGGCTGCTCTAAGGTCTCCCCGGAGCCTTCTCTCCTCCAGGCTGAACCCCCCAACTCTCTCAGCCTGTCCTCACAGGAGCTGCTCCAGCCCCTGATCATCTTCGTGGCCTCCTCTGGACCCACTCGGGCAGGTCCGTGTCCTTCTGACGTTGGTGCCCCCAGAGCTGGACACAGGACTCCAGGTGGGGTCTCACCAGAGCAGAGGGGGCGAATCCCCTCCCTCGCCCTGCTGCCCACACTGCTCTGGATGCAGCCCAGCACACGGCTGCCTTTCTGGGCTGCGAGCGCACGTTGCTGGCTCACAGGCAGTTTTCCATCCACCGATACCCCCAAGCCCTTCTCCGCAGGGCTGCTCTCCATCCACTCCTCGCCCAGCCTGTGTCTGTGCCTGGGATTGCCCCGACCCGTGGGCAGGACCCTGCCCTTGGCCTTGTTGAACTCCATGAGGTTGGCACAGCCCCACCTCTCCAGCCTGTCCAGGTCCCTCTGGATGGCACATCCCCTCCCTCCAGCGTGTGACCGCCCCACACAGCTCGGTGTCGTTGGCAAACTGCTGAGGGTGCCTCGATCCCACTGTCCAACAAAGATGTAGAACGGTGCCAGTCCCAACACCGACCCCTGAGGAACGTCACTCATCACTGCTCTCCCCTTGGACATCAAGTCATTAACTGCAACTCTTTGAGTGTGACCATCCAGCCAATTCCTGATCCACCGAGTGCTCCATCTGTCACATCCACATCTCTCCAATTTAAAGACAAAGATGTTGTGCAGGACAGCGTCAAAAGCTTTGCACAAGTCCAGGTAGATGACATCAGTTGTTCTTCCCTTATCCACCAGCACTGTAACCCCATCATAGAAGGTCACCAAATTCTTCAGGCACGATTTCCCCTTAGTGAAGCCATGTTGGCTGTCATCAATCACTTCCTTATTTTCTGGTGCACAGCTTCCAGGGGGATCTGCTCCATGATCTTATTGGGCACAGAGGTGAGACTGACTGGCCTGTGGTTCCCCAGGTCCTCTTTATTTCCCTTTTTGAAAATGGGGGTTATGTTTCCCCTTTTCTAGTCAGCGGGAACTTCACCAGACTGACACAACTTCTCAAATATGATGGATAGTGGCTTACTCACTTCATCTGACAGTTCCCTCAGGATCCACCAATGCATCTCATTAGGTCCCATGGACTTTCAGGTTCCTTGGATGGTCTCAAACCTGATCTACTACAGTGGGTGGTTCTTCCTTCTCCTAGTGCCCACTTTTACCTTTGCATCTTGGGCGGTGTGGCTGGAGCTCTTGCCAGTGAAGACTGGAGCAAAACCATCATGGCATACCTCAGCCTCCTTCGTATTCCAGAAGATCAAGTCTCCCTTTCCTGTCCAGAGATGGCCCACATTTTCCCTAGTCTTCCTTTCATCACAGTCTACCTAGAAAAGCTTCTTTTGTTGCCCTTGACGTCCCTGCCAGATTTAATTCAATAAGGGCTTTAACCTTTCTAACCTGATCCTTGGCTATTAGGACAGTTTCTCTGTGTTCCTCCCAGGCTACCTGTCCTTTTTTCCACCCTCTGTAGGCTTCCTTTTTATGACAATGAGGGTCTTGCGCTGTCCTTCACCCAGGCAGGGCTTTAGGTTTTCTGTTTCCCCTGAATTGCATCAGCTGGCTTTTGCCCCTTTTGCTTTTTACAGTATGCGTTGCTGGGATATGTATTAGAGACTGTAAGAGCAAAAAAGTACATCTCACAGACAGAAGGTGTCCTGGTTTAGCTAGGATAGGGTTAAGTTTCCCCAGCAGAGAGGGGGGAAGGGATCTCCAACTGGGTTATTCATACCATACTTACATCAGGTCCGGGTGTGGGATCGCAGGAACTTTTTCCTTTGTGGCTTTGGTGACGGGGAGCATGCGAGTGAGCTGTCTGTAACCACTGCGGTATTTCTCTGTATATCTTCTGTCTTGTTTACTGTTATTACTGTTTATCACTGTTATCATTGCTACTGTTGTTGTTCAGATTGCTTATTATATTGTTGTATTAAATTTCTTCTTTTTTTAACCCGGGGTTTGTGCCTCACTTCCAGCCTGACTGGCTGAGAGTGGGGGAGGGGCAACGGCAATGTTGTCTCCGGTCCCAGCAGGGCTTAAACCACCACAGAAGGGTAAGATGAGCTTTGAGAAGGTTCTTACTGCCAGTGGGAAGTAATTTCTGGTCACTGCAACAGACACCACCGTGCCCGTCTGTGCAGGCAGGATTGAGAATGGAAGAGCAGTGATTTCTCAGAACAATAAATTAAAAGGCTTGTTTTATCCAATATATATGATTACCAAACTAGCTTCTGCAATCAGGACTTTGAGCTCCCAAGTTGATAAGTGACCCCAGCAGGCTGGCTCACAGGGACAGTCTCATCTACAGATCAGAGGTTTCACAGAGGCTGAGATACTGTCCACGAGGGTTACATGTGATCATTTACAGCAAAAGGTTATGAACCAGCGAGATTAAAATATCATCTTGTTTAAGGCACAGCACTGTTGTGAAAATTGGCTCTATATAATGTGACACTTTGGTTTTCTACAGTTCTAGACAATCCTAATGAAACCTGATGGAATTGCTCATGTTTTTGCTGGGGGAATTGCTTGGCCTTCACTGCTGCTGATGAAGACTCTACTGGCATGAGGAGCAGTGTGTATAAACCAGCCTGCAATAGGGCTGGAAAAAGATTTCTAGGAGACCCAACTGGAGAAGGGACAGGGCACAGCAGGCTGGCAGGGGGAGGCTGCCTGCAGTGGTAAGCAGTCATACAGATGCTCCCTTCAAATCCAGGAAAGCAGCTGAAGAAATAACCCAGTAAAACTGTTAGACTCCAGGGTAAATTTGCAGAAAGATATAATCTTGTAAATAGATCATCCCAAGTTTGTCACTGAAACAAAGGCAGTGGAGGCATTCAGCCACCTTGCAAACTGTAGGTGCAAGCCCACCACTGCCCGATGGCTGGGAGTCATTGCCTCCATGTAAGATGCCATTTAGGATCTATTTTTCTATTTCTCTTTCATTCCTTCAAACAGTAAAAATCTCTTCCTATTCCAAGGCCAAAGAACCCCATATGACACCAAACCAGCATATCAGAAAGCCTCCAAAAGGGAAGAGAAGATTCAAGTATCAGATGTTACAGCAATTACAACAGGACATGGGGCTCTTCACAATCGCCTTTAATGATATGCATTGTCCTTCGCTCTTGATGGTTCATCATGTGAATGGCAGATTGCTTATGGCCTCCGAGTTTTTAAACTAAAGACACTTTTAAAATTGTCTCTGTCTTGGAGCAGGCAATTAAAGTGCTTGTAGGGGGATGAACATACAATCAGGATAGGACAGCACAGCAGCAAGTACTCTCAAACATGCTCAGCTTTTGGAAAACCATGGTATTTTTTCCCTCCTGCAGACATTTGCACATGTCATCATCCACTTAACAATTCCACTCTCAAAATTATCAAAAAATAAAATCCATCACTTCCCATTTAAAATTTAACTCGGTTGTGGACAGTATTTTGCGAATAAAACATCCATAAAAACATACTATTCGCTAAAGTTTGGGAAGAAAAGAAAGGAAGGGTGTGAATAAACACATGCCTGTTTCTGAGATTTTTGGTTCATAAGAGAGGGCCTTCAGTCAGGTCTCTTGTCTTTATAAGGAACATAATCACAAAACAAAATCTCCTGCTAATGCAAGCTGAAGTATACAACAGAAATCTCTTTCTAGACATAGAATGTAAAGATCTCCCTAAGCTCTGGACTAAATCAGTAGTATCTAGAACTGAAATCTTAGTGAAAAACATCACCAGAGCAGATCCAGTTTCATAGAGCTTACCAGCAGAAACATCACGAGCCAAGCCATGGTAGTACTGGAAAGAAAAGCTATTTGATTAGTGAGAAAAGCCGTTCCTGAATTGTTTACTCATTTTGTCTTATTTCTTACAGGAAGTGTTGTTGGGCAAGGATTTCAGGGTAAGGTTCAGGGCAACAACTATTTATGAATGGAAACACACAGAGATATATATATTCCATCAGTTTCTGCATCCTTTACAATTTGCTATTTTAAACTGAAGAAACTAGAAACAGTTGGATTCTCTGTTTCACCTCATAAATTGCTCTGCAGTACAGAAGGGTTTTGTATCTGAGCTACAGCTAACCAGAAGTAAATACAGCCAAGAAAAAGAGTCCAAAAGCTCCAAAACAACTCTGCCCTTTTATTTTGATGGGTATGCTGCTCGGTGCCACAAAATCTGTCTTATTGCTTCAGCTGCACAAGGGTGACTTACTTGGTGAACTTCCATCCAAAACAGTCTCAAAAGAGCACGTCTAGATTTATTCCCTCTGCATTTTCTAGGAGACATGTGGATTGCTATTACAGTATTACCACAGAACAAAACAACTTGATTGCTGCCATATTTCAAGAAATCACTGTGCATTTTTTCAGTGTATTCCCTATATAGTATCAATCAAGTACTTTAGATAGGCAGTTATTCAAAGGCTGTGGCCACCCTCAGCATTTTGAAGTTGCTTGGTCTTTACCACAGGTATCTCCAAGAACTGCCCCTGCCACATGTACTGGCAGACCGAGCACCAATAAAACCCAGGCTTTCATAAATCAAGAGTAGTGGTTAAACTGAAGAATTACAAAGATTCACAGCTGTAGCTGAATATGAAGAAACTTCTCATAGGAACCTAAAGGCAAATAGAAGAACTGTGGAATGTACATGGACAGTCAAGCAAAATACCTCAGCAATAAGAAACTTTAAAAATAAAACAAATTTCAATGCCTTTTTCCACTTTTGTGACTGCCTGTAGTTTTTGTGCTATACTTGTGCGTGCAGACACAGGTTAGGAAGGTGAGGAACAGGCATGCTGACACATGAAACACATAAAAACAACGCTATCCTATACAGTTCTCTAATGTTCCAAGTTTGCAGGCTGGCTCAAATTTTGTCAGGAAATACCATTCATGTCTCTGCCATCTCTGAGAAGACTGAAATAAAACCCAGATGCACATGTTAAGTGACCTGTAAGGCCTCAGCATTTTGTATAACTTTAATGTTTCAGGTCTTAAAACCTTCCCCATCTTCCACCCCCAAAAATACAGGAAAGGCCTGGCAGGGGGTGAAACACTCTGCAATTTCTCTGTTAGGATTACAGTGCTCTTTCCAGTTGCATGTAGAACTGGATGTCAGAGAAGAAGTTAAAAAAAAGAAAGGACAGCAAAAATGGCGAGATAGGTTAATTCATTTCAACATCTTCAGCAACACAGGTGCCAGTTGCTCTTTCAGCCGCGGATCAATTTGAATGTTGCTCAGTTCTTTGATACTGAGGATCATCTCATGGGCTTGGAAGAAAAGCTCCTTCCCCACAGCATCCTCCACCCGCCTGCGCCACTCCATCAGCCTAGGTCTGTCTTCAAAGATGTCACAACCAACTCCAACAGGCTGCAGAAAGGGGGAGAGAGCAACAGTGAAGCACTGGGCAGCCCCTTTTTCACCAAGACAACAGGCACCAAAAGTGTACTTGCAGGTACAGGTGGAGGAAAAAAAAAATAAATTAAGAAGAGCTTATAGATGAGCACTAGGAAGGAGGAAAATCTCCTCTGGTTGGGTGTATCTAGCTGGGGGACTCAGAAGCTAGCCTGTATTTTAAAGGACATTTACAAGTCAGTTCCTGAGTGCTGGAACAGCTGTTACGACCAGCAGAGATGACTACCACTTACTGTGAGTGGGTTTCCACTACAGCATTGAAGATGTGGTGGGCTGACAGTTCCAGGGACAAAATGCTAAGCATTTAATTGAACTGATGTCTTAGTTGACACCATCTACCCCTCTTCTACTTTCTGTCTGTGCCACTCTCTGGAGCACAATGCTGTAGAGAAGCAGAACTGCTATTTTTCAGCCTTTGGGATACAGAACTGGGAGAAAGAATCACTTTTGAGCTGCAGGATCCAGGCCCTGACAGTCTGGCAGAGAATAACCAGTGTGTAACAGACTTAATTTGATGATTGCCTCTGAGATTCAGTATTGCATCCTCCAGACGTGGCATGAAGAAGAACATCTGAAGAACATATGGAAATATTTTTATCATAGAATAATAATTTTCTTATTTCATCAGACCTATCCGCTATTGCTTCTCACTTCTGTATATCACCTCCTTCTCTGGAGGTTAAAAACTAAATCACAATAAAGTATGAGGGAGAAGTATTGTTAGAGAAGAGAAACAAGAGATCTGTTGCAGCCAATGTTTTTACTTTTTAACTGTTTTTCTGAACTCACTCCCATATTGTCCTCATTGTCTTAGGCCAGTTCTGTTGAGATATGCCCTCGCTCCTCTTTCTTGTGAAGTGTTACCAGATGCTGCACCCCTCCCTGCCCAGCAGCATCTTGTGCTGAGACTTTCTTACCACACTCGAGCACTCACTTGCATCAGCTCCACAATAGCCACAAGATCTGCCAGAGAGATCTCGCTCCCAATGATAAAAGCCTTGTCCTGCAGAAATCTCTCCTCAAATTGCTTCAGTGAAGTGGACAGCCCATCCATAACCTCCTGAAGCTTCTCAGAGGGCAGTGGCTGCCCTGTGAAGAGGGGAATCAGCACCTGAGGAGAGAAGGGACTTAAAGAGTACAGTTGGCCATCTTATGGATCTGGTGGCAATCATTTAAGTTATACCCCATAAACTACTTATGATTGTCAGTGATCCTGCAGCAAAGCCACAGGAGGGGATGATGCTATTGCTTCACAGATTGCTGCAGTTCCAAGCAGCTCATGGACAGAGAGCACACACACAGTCCTAAGCAGCTGATCTGCCGTGACAGTAACCTCCAGCTAACGGGCAGAGATGCACAGAATGAAATCAAGAATCCACTCGTTTTGTGCCTGGCAGTCCTGCCCTCCCACTCCACCTTGGTGGGTTACAAAAGAAAAACAGGCAACAGTTCTAGGGAAGACAAATCTCTGCAGTCACCCCTGCTATGCCCTCCGTTTCAACAGCCTGCCAAGACAGGTCAGCAGGCTGCCTGCCCACCAGCCACCCCTGCTACCGACCCTGCTGTCTAACTGGGTGCTGGAGGCAGGCAGCTGCCTGTCCTGCAGGGTGATGGAAGGAGGGCATGGTGGTGGCTGTGTCAGGGAGCGTAGGAGGGACTCTAATGCATCAACACTGGCTGGAGAGGCAGGAAATGGCTCGTGATGACAGCAGCCAGCGAGGCTGGGAGTGGGTAAACACCATTCTCATACCAGCCTTTCTGTGGCCTCTCAAACATCATTCTTTAAACCACTAGAAATTTTTCCAGAGCAATCATATAAGTGCAGACCTTGTCTCCACAGACTTGCTGGCACAGGATGCAGTTGCCTTTCCATGATTTTTCACTGTTCACAGAGGTGTACACACAGAGGATCGCACAGTGTTTCACAACTATGCTGCCTCCCCCTACCACAGCTAAAGAACTACAGTTTCTTTAGAGAAGCAAAATTAAAGACACAAATTTCCATCGGTGGGAGTAGACTGAATTTCTACTTACTGCTAGTGTATTCAACAATTCAAGTTAGGATTGCTTAATCCAAGCCAGGATTTTTGTCAAATACATGTGGAATCTATTCCATCAGAGAATTCATGGCCAGTTCTCTTCCTAAGTGGTTTCAATTATGCAAGATGGGATCTCTGGGTATAATCACTTGAAACAGCATCATCTTCTTTTTCTGCATCTCAGGGCAGTCTATCTTCTCCCATGTCTAGCTAACATGCCTTCTGTCACATGGTGGCTTTATACGTTTTCCTATTTTCAATTATTCTGAGGACCTTTTCTTTATCTGGGTTATCTAATCAGCAACAGCAATTAGCTGGATTTCTTTCTCTTGGAGCACTGCAATAACAGCCTGCAGAGACTGGAAGAAACTGCTTCTTGTATGAATCTGACTCATGTGAATTGCTTCTTTGTGCTCTCTAGCCAAAAATTCAAAATGTCAATAAATCAAAAAGCTAAATGAGTCCTGATATGCTTTGTTAGGCACAAACAAGGGCAAACTTTACACAGGAAGAGTGAAGTTCTTACCCGTTTACTGGCAACCCTGATTTCATCTGAAAATCCATACCACAGCTGTATTTGCAGGGCTATTATTTGCACCTGGGTCTCTCCAAGGGTAGTTGCATTAACTCTGGTGAGTTGGCTGGAAATACATGTCCAGCAAAACCATTTGATACTAAATGATTTTCTGCCTCAGGGTGATTATGTTAACTTTGCATAAACGTGAATTGGTCTAATCACAATGAATAAAGAAATTCTGCCATTTGCTCTGTGTTGCTATTTAGTCTATCCCTGAGCCCATTCCAGAGAAGCACCTAAGGGTGCTGGAGGCAGAAGGCTTCTTCTGGATTTCCACCCTGTTGGGGCTGCAGGACTTGATGTATGAAGAATGCAATCCCTTCTGCTTCCAGCAACAAAGCACATGCTTGCCAAAGAAGCAAAACTTCTGCCTGTGTGCACACTTTGCACAGCTGTGCAGTCAGGGGTAGGCCCTTGGAGGAAATTTCCAATCTGTTATCTATTATTTCACAAATCCAGGCAATGGAAGTCTGTTGGGCTCTGAGACCTTCTGCACCAGAACTACTTTAAGGAAAAAAACAAAATGACCAAAGCTGCTTTTGCCAGATCCTGACATTGAGCAATTAGAAACAGCTCCTCTCAGCTAGGAATGGACTAGGTTTGTTATTTCAGCACGACAAGCTCTCTCCGAATTGGGGCTGTCCAAATGCCCAGTATTCTGTCAGGAAAACATCGCTTTACTCGTATTTTAATATTGTCTCCTTACCTTGATCCACATGGTCTTAGGAGCATTAGCCCGGATGTTAGCATGATGCCATGAGAGGTATTCATCTACCTGGGCCCGTTTTTGTATGTCTGATGGGTACCAGTGGTCGGGAGTGTTGTACTTTCGACTCAGATACAGCAGAATGGCAGTGCTGCTCAGACATTAACAAGCGACAAGAAAGGGGTCAGGGAGTTATGGTGCAGAATGCTTTTGCCTAAGCTCCCTCTCCTGCCCCTTCTGAACTTGCTGCTTCCACTAAAAAGCATTCAGATCAGGATTTCCGATGGAGTCTAGGGTCCATATACAGGCATCTAATTCATGTTGACATCAAAGCTGGCACTTAATCACCTTAGTTCCCACGAAAACTTTAACCTGCTGGAAAATCACAGCACTATTCTATGGTGCAGAGTGCTGCTGGACAGTACTAGGGTAAACAAACAATAAGCCTCCAGAATCACCTATCAGCAATGTTAACTCCACTTGTTCCTTGACAGTTCTGACCCATCTCTCTGACACCTGCACATGTTTATGAACTTGTGTACTAAATAAAACCCTCTCTAGCCTGCAGCTTCCATTCAGGTAAGTGCAAGTCCCAGCAAGGAGAACCTACAGAATCTTTTTGTGTTTTTCCAGATGTTTATACTTTCACTATTTGGCAGGAGAAGTCAGATGGAAAAATATCTTAGTCATCTGCAACCATATGTATACTGTTACTACAAAAAGAGATGCCACAGAAAATCCTGTGCTGACAAACAGAAGGAAACGCAGACCCTCCTACTATGCTGATACTACTATAGTTCGATTATTTCAGCATGCTGACACATTAATCAGCCTCCAAATTAATCTTATAATGTAAAACCTACATTTTATCTCTGTAGATGTTCACTTGGCCTTTATGACTAATTCAGGTAAAGAGAATTTTTTCCTAGGGCAAAAGAGATTGTTCTTCCTAGAGTAAAAGGAATTTTTATAAGCTTTAAACATTTCCCAGAAATGTTTATAATCCCATTTTGAGGTAAGTGTGATCAGGGTAAGATCAAGAAGTTAAGTCAGCTGATTTGTTTACATTCTGCAAGATAATTCAAACAGAAAATGGAAACAGAGCAAATGAGGTTATACTATTAAAAATAACCAACATGTTCATAAATTCTGTGATCCTTAATCATTCAACATGAATGACAGCTCCTAAATGCTGCACAGATTACTGGTACCCAAGGAAGTCTAAGGACTGAGTTCTTACCATTCTGCTAGGGTGAAGTCTCCATCCTTTAGTGCTGGCACTTTCTTCAAGAGGCTGACTTTGCCAGCTCCTTCACTATTTGATGGCCCTAAGAACACAAACAGACAAGTCAGAGGTTAGAAGTCTATCTACCAGTGAATGATAAATGAAATACCTGTAGCCAACTGGACAATCAGTGAACTGTGTTAGGTTTTCCCTATATGGCCATCTTTCACAATTAAAAGGTAATGAAATTGAAGAGTCAGTGTAAAAGCTATCCATAGAGGGCAGTCAGCTCAGGCTGGGCACATGGCCTGGAGCAGTGCACATTTCTGTACAGGAATTCTGTTGCTTGACTCGGGTATCAGTAATACTTGCAAAACTTACTGAAAAAAATCACTCCCTGAAAGGCATTTAGATACCACAATGAAGGTGCTGGTATTGAAAACACTATTGCAGATAACCAGGAACAGCTGACCTGACTTGAGAACAGCACGTCCCATGGCCTTAGAGACAGGGGGGGAAAAGACAGAAGTTAGGATGAAGACAAGTGAGTACCTAAAATATACTTAATATTTGCCAAGAAAGCAGGGGCTGGAAAAGTTGAGTTTGCATGCAGAGCATTCTAACGAGGGCAGATGATTGCTACTCCCGCTCCTGTTCCCACAGGCAACACCAAAACAAAGCAATTTTCCTGCAGTTTGTAAATGTGGCTGACTAGCTAGGATGGTGTCATGATGGAAAGCAACTGAAAAGCCTTGTGCCCGCAGAGATCATTGCAGTGGTTAATTAATCAAAGAGAACCCACCTGTCTTATAGACACACAGAGCAAAATTTTCTTCCTGTTTGTTTGACTCTGAAGAGCTGAGGGAATTGAGCATTTACAAAGAAAGTAAATGCTGTCAACAGAGCTGACCCCTCAGCAGACATGCAGCTGAGGATGTTTCCAGAGTTTTTGCTGGGATGGGAAAAACATGAATGTCAGCAATACAACAGTAGGCTCATGAAATAATTCACTCTGTCACACTGGACATTTGCCAGGGAAGCTTCGACCCTGCATTACCCCTGGCTCTGTATGTTAACCTATCTCTGTCAGGAAAATGCAGGAGGAAGACACCATTCCATACGAGTTTAAACTCCACAGTCCCTTGGAGTTTGGAGGTATTAACAGCTAACTATCTAATCAGGTTTTCAGTTTCCTGCTGCAGGCACCAGACTTGCCGGTCAGCAGTTACATGCCAGAGAATTGTACAAAAGTCCAAGAAGACCTGTGAAACAAAAGGTGTGAGGGAGTTGTCTGCTTAACTTAAGTGTTCTCTAGAAGGAGACATGATGTTTAGGGTGCAAATCCTGATCAAATCAGCATCAAAATCACGATCAAATCAGCATCAGGTCTTGAACAAAAATCCCTTTGTTCTAAAAAAATAAGAGCTGTTAACTAACAGACAGTGATCTGCATCCCCAAGAACTATTTGCCCCCATTCAGGAGGCAGTGTCAGTGTCTGCTTTGCTGGACAGCAGAGAGTAGTCTCCAAGAATTAAAACCAGCCTTTGGACTATCAAGTTTACTTGCAGTTGGCTCTGGAAAGGGGTGGGAGAAAGGCAAGTTACTGCATTACAAATGACAGACTAGTTTCCCAATATTGATTTCAGATAATGAGACAAATCAAACAGAGCAAACATTACCACCCTGTTCTCCTTTCTAGCTGACTAGCGTCTAATTAGTTTCTTCTTTGAGAAGTGCTTTTTAAAATTCTGATGTAAATAGCTTCATCAGAGACTAAGGTTCACATCCAGCGGCTGTCTGAAGGGATTCAAAGCCATGTCTCCCATTTCACTGGGAGATGTCTCTGGCTACCTGTGGTGACGGTGACCTCCAGCTTAGCTGAGTAAGAGGTTCCACACGCACAGCAGAACCAGGCAGCATTGTCAGGAGAGGCAGGAAAAAGAGCTTATTAAGAATAAGAGACAAATAAGAAGTGCAAGTTAAGCCTAATAATTGAGAAACTTGAATATAAAAAAAAAATCCCTGAATATCAAGCCAGCAGGCAAAGTACAAAGTACCTTACGCCCATGATTTATATCATAAAAACAGCGAGGCAAATTTGTGTAAATCTACTGTCATGCCAGGAGTTGCTCTGGGAAGGTGCTTGGTCCTGGTGTGCTTTTAGAAGGGCTCCAAAGGCCAACGGTCATAACCCAGCTCTGGTGAGGTCTGTAGAGCTCAGATAGTCTTTGGAAAAAATGCAGCAGAAAGTTGCAAGTCTTACAACTAATACTAATACTTACAACTAATAAGCAGTCAGTTCTCAGGACCTAGCTGACTAGTTGTTCTGCTGTCTGTGTTTATTATCCAAGGTAGCGGGAAACTGAGAAACAACAGTATGAGAAGTAAGCAGCGGGTGAAGGCAGCCTGAATCAGATTTCAGCCTGCTTTCATCATGCAGCAGTCCTAGCAGGAATACTGAGCATATTTGTCCCCTGATGGGGCTAACACGTCATTACAGCAGGTTGGACAGTAGGTCAGTGCCTGTTACACAGGCTGCACTGCAGCCCAGAGATGGCACCTTATTTGCTTTGGCTCATACAGGGTCTTTGTGTACAGACATAAAAGACCTGTTCCGAGACTCTGCCCCTGAGCTGCAAACTGATAAAGCCTATGAACATAAGTATGAACACTAACGCCAGGTTGCTTCATTGGGACCAATCGCTTATTGTATTAAAACAGAGACCGGTACTTGCATTTGCTGCTTAGCAGAGTTTAAGCTTGTGCCCCTCTTCCAGCAAGCAGAGCCAGCATTTTTGTTTAGCGGTATTAGGTGGCCCATCTTTATCATTCTTGTGACGTTGACTTGACTTAGAGTGCTGTTTAACATCAGTTGCATCTGGCATAATTAGTTCTTTATGTCCTCCAAGGATACATATATACACACGCTGCGTGTATTGCTGAGCTTTGAGGAGTAACTTTAATAAGCAGAGTACACACTGTCAAAAAGCAAGACAGGCTGCACACAGGAGGAATTCTTAAGCATAAGTCATAGTGCAGGGAAGGAGATTTACTGGTGGGTAAAAGAGCAACAGACAAGATTTTACAGAAGTAGAAAGGGGGAAAAAATAAAATCAGTATATTTGCCAGTCACGTCCCTGCCTAATCATCTCCTCAGCCAAGGATTTCCAAGCACTATGCTCTGCCTGAGGCCAAAAAGTAACAATTTACAAGGAATTTGCAATATGTAAATGGGCAATAGTCATCTTACACAGTTGGACAAGTCTGAACAGCTGAGTGTTTCTGCTCAGTACCCCACTCCCAGAGCGCTCCTCGGCTGTCACTGTGACTAATTTTCTAGAAATGGCTGGAGGAACATTCCTTGGGGATCCACAAAAATAGATGCAGCACAGCTATGAGACTGCTCTGGGAATAAGAGCCGCATGGTCAAACCCCTGTACTCGGGCCCCTCGGCAGAACATGCATCTCAAACCGCCCGGGTTCCCGAGGAGCCAGCGCTCCCCTCCCAGCGGCCGCGGCGCTTCCAGGCGCGGGGAGCGGATTCACTCCCATGGGGAGGCCTGGGCGGGCTCCGCCTGTTCCACGCCGCCAGGCAGGACGGGGCCCTGTCCTCAGGGCCACCGGGGAGAGCCCACAGGCGAACCTGCTCCGAGCTCCGCATCCCTCATGAGCGGGGATCTCCCGCTGCCGCCACCTCCCCGCGCTCGAGCGTCTCCTCCTCCGGGGGGTGGGTACTAAGCCCTGAGGGAGCAGGGGCTGTGGCTCCCCTCCGCAGCTTTGGGTGATGCCGCAGGGTCTCGGGAGCCCGCCCTCACCCGCAGCATCCCCCCATGGCTCCCACGAGGTAAATGCTTATTTTCATAATGTGACCCTGCAAGGATGCGTCACGGTGCAAACAGGGCCCTTGCACGACATCCTCTAAACCAGCGTTAATCTCGCACCACTAGATCTCAGTATGGTTTTCAGTTCAGAAGATAATTCTTTGGTTGCAGTCTCTGACCCGGGCTGTGAGGGGATGCCTGAAGGGCAGTGAAGCGTGGAGGACTTCTCTGTGGGCGTTACCTCTGCGTACTCACAGTGAAGTGACTGTCCTCTCCCCCTGATGTATTTGTCACTTCAGATTTCCACACAAGCAGAGGAGAACTACAGAATCTCAGAGTGAATTCAAGCCCGCAGTGTTTCACAGCTGTGTGACTCGGGGAAGGTGACGTGCTGGTTGAGCACAGGGACTTCTGGGACTCTGGAGGATGGAACAGCTGAACCACGCAGAGCAAAGTCACCCCCAGTCAAACCCACCTCGGCTCAGCTGACACCTTCTTATCAGTGCTGTGCCAGAGAGCTTGTATGTCATGCACAGATCCTTGGAAAGAGCCACAGGAGCCTCAGGGAGAGGGAGCTGGACAATCAGTTGCTCCTGTGTAAAGGATCATTATAAAGAGTCTGAAAAGGCTTGGATACTGATCTAGGCGCTGATTGACTGGATAAATTACAAACTGGAACACTTTCAGGTGTTCCCTTTATAGCACTACAGACTTCAGCTCAGAACTCCTTAGGAACGGGGCTTACCCTTAGGCTGTTCAGTCTGCCAGAGTCTGGTGAACAAGCTGCGTCTCAGTCTGAAGTATCAAATCCGCTTCACCACGCACATATTTTCAGAGTCATAGTGCAGGTTTATAACTCCATGATAAGAGTTTTTCAGTTTCTTGGCCAGAATAGGGAGAGGGGCTGTCTACACCCTGCAGTTCCCCTGCAGTACAGTTACCCTCTAGGGCACCTGCACGCTGCCCCAACACACCGGAGGTGAAGGCTCATAGAGTATTGTGGCAGGTGCTTGAGGTCACGTCAAACTCCTTCAGTGCAAAGAAATCTTGAATGTTAAGGGAGTGGGGGAAGGGAGCGTGAATGTGGCTTTGCACAAGCAATAGTCTGAGAAGGCTCAGTGCCTCAAAATGGTTGCATATCCCTACTCTGAAGATACCACAGAGAGGAGTTTGATGATCTCAGTAGTGGGTACCAAGATTAGCAGTGTGGGTTTGCTTTGTTCCTTTATTTATGGTTCAATTGATCCATTAGTCCTGTCTGGACTTCAAAGATCTTTTCATGCGCCTCCTGGAAATGTTCCTCCCTGAAGTTTTTCTTCAGTTTGCTGAATGCACTGCACTGCCCACGCAACCAAAGAGATATTTTTATCTGGTTGTGTTGTATGGCATTTGATTGCATTATTCCTGGCTCTAGGATAGTGCTTCTAATATTTTCATTTGGCTCCATCACCTCAAAGGCCTTTTTTCCTCCCTGTATTTTTCTCTATCAACTTTTTGGAAACAGGAACAACACAGAAAAAATGCAGTGTTTTGCAGTTTATTTGTGAATCATTTAGAAAGGAGCTCAGGGTGTGTATCTGTTTGTTAAACATTCCTCCCCATTTTGTGTATTCCAGCTTCATTTTATGCTAGAAATCATCAGATCTCACCTATTTCCAAATGGCCCCTGGCAAAAATCAAGGAAATTGAATCAGAACAGCACATTAAACTGTCACTGGAGGTGTGACCCCTCTCCATATTCAGGTGAAAGGGGAGTGGACACTGAACAGACTTTGCACTGAGGCAGGCAAAACTCTTGCACAACCTGTTGGGTTTTGGCAGGCAGCTCTTAGGGCTTTCAATCTAGGAGCTGGAACCAGCCAAGATCAAATGACACAAATGAACAAAATAGGGGAGGTGGAGGGAATATAAAAAGGCAAAGTACAAGGACGAGATGCCTTATCTCCATGGTTTAGAGTGAAAAAAACAAGCAAGGCAGATTTATCTGTTGTACAACTCTGTTGCCATCCCAGTAGTTACTCTGGGGAGGTGCTTTGTCCTGCATGCATCAAAGGGCCCAAAATGCCACTGGTCACTGCACACAGCTTCACTGGGAGAGCGAACCTACAGGTCAGATGGGCTTAGAGCAGACAGAAAAGACTATGGAGAAAACAATTTAAAATCTCCTGGCACCACAACCATGCTGGAATGAGGCGAGTGTGTTTATCCTTTGTGACACTGGCAGCAGAGAAGCACCAGACAACAAGCTCTTTAATGTATTTCCAACTTGTTTTTGAAGGTAGCCATCCTTCCAAGAACACACAATAGGTGACATTTAAGGAACTCGTGCCTTACTCAAACAAGCAGAAAATTGGCTCAAAACTCTTACATGGAGCTCTTAAAAAAAAAAAAAAAAAAAAAAAAAGACACTTTATTTGCTTTGTCTCATGCAATGGTTTTGCGTGCACAGCAGCCCCATCTAGAGATTCTGCGGGGAGATGTGTATCAAGAAAGGCTCTGCTACCAAGCCCAGTTTGAGGTCTGTCAAAATGAGCACTCTGTAGGTTAGGCTTTTGGTTTTGATTATTCCTCTGCTCTGCTTCTACTTGAACAGAAGCTGTGTGAGGCATTTATTGTGCTGGTAGGAAGTTTGCTCTCTACAAGAAAGGGAAAAGTTAGAGGTCAGGAATGTGGAAGTCAGGCAAAATACAAACATGCTAACAGGAGAGAGTGCAGTGAGGTTGGGCAGCTTTGGTGAGGTAGCAGAGGACAGCTTTTATTCCAGCTGTGCGCAGAAGCCCAGCTGATGGCTGTGGTAAGTTGCAGGTTATAGAGGAAAGGAAGTGGTTAGCAGTACAATGTAAACAAGCCATTTTCTTTAGGCTTAGCACTGCAGGCAAGCTGCTACAGCAGGGCAGCAGTGCAGCACCTACAGGGTTTACTGCACCAACATTGCAAGCGTTCTCGGGGCGAGAAGAAAGCTGCTGTCACCGACTTTCTGACTGGAGTGCAATAGGCTCTCCTCAACAAACTTGCCAATAAAAAAATCAGGTAATATGACAAATATCCCTGCCTGTGTCAGCACTGAAAGAGTTTTGGGGCAACTCTGCTTTTTCACTGCTGACATTTAGGTTTTCCTGTAGGTTGGAAGAATGAAAAGTAAAAGGGACCAGCATGCTTGGCTGCTTTAGCTCAGCCCACAGGGGGGTGTGTTGCAAGCTGTGGTTTATGGTGCTCTTTTGAACTACAGGGCAGGTTTACTCAGGAAGCAAATGCGGAAGAGGCAGCTGGATCATTCCCCAAAATGAGCAGGTCCAGCTGAAAGGATGTATGAGACTGGTTTGAGCAGCTACTTTCACCTTTTCTCAGAACTTGACAGAACAATAACTTGACTTATATTAAGATGACTGACATCTTGCACCCAGTGTACTATGCAGCCATCTCTGTGGATGGTGTAAGCAGCTGGCAGAGACAAACGGACTTCCAGCTACAACCAGAGCTTAGTAAGGGAGGAAAAAAATCCTGGAACCCTCTTCATGGCTTGTACCTGGAAATGGAAAGTCACAGGGACAGGAGGACGGGAAGGCAGGAGGGGTACAAAGGGACGGAGGCGAGAGGTTGTGAAGAGTGCTGCACAGGTGTGACTCGGTGGCCACTTCCTTCCAAATCCCAATTACAAATGCAAACAGAGTGACAACACATGATAAGTGTAATCATTAACTTTACTGGAGAATCTGATGTGACAGAAGAGTAGCAAAACATTAACTGTATTTGAGACCTTACTCAGCTCACGTACTGCCCGCTCTGCTCACCCTGCGCTGGCCAGCACAGCTCCCTCCACCACCAGTGCTGGCCCAGCCTCAGCAGCACTGGTCAGTGGAAACAGCCTGGCTTGAATGACTTCTATTGAGCTGACAAAGCAGCTCTGGGGAAAGGACAAGAGCACCGATATGGTTTGCAGAGGCAGACAGTATGCTTGGCAGCAGTCTTGCCTAGAAAAATCAGCTTTTCTCAACTGTGCAGACTGTTCTTTGTAGAGTATGGCATGAGTCTATGGTTGAGGATCTTTATTCATAGGACTAATCTTGTCCTTCCCAGAAGCTGGAGGCCTCACTTGGGTGAGGCACAGCCCCCCTCCCTCCTCCCAGGCACTGTGTCCCTTTGCTCCCACAGGTGACACAGCAGTCTTTATTGGCCAGGTGCTCTGAGAGCCCTGGCAGGGTCCCCACCAAAGGCTGGGTCCTCACCTCTCTCTCTACTAAAGAGCAAAAATCTTCCAACTGAGCGTGTTGCCAAGTGAAAGACATTTTCAATGATTTTTCCTTATTTCAGATAGATCTGCTCTGCCATACCCTCAGGAAACCTTTGCCCCTTCTATAGTGCTGTGATCTGGAAAACTCAGAACAGGGATGGAAAGGGCAGTTCTGACTGGCCCCGTGGACCGCATCACTTCTGTTCTCAAGCAGATCCAGCGGTGTAGGAGCCAGAAAGAAAAGCCTGTAGAGCTACAGCTCACATACCTGTAGTGGACAAGGGAAAAGCAGCTCACTGCAGTCTGGTTAAGATGCAGTTTTCTTCCCTTCCAAGTTAGAGAAAGGCTGCAATTGAAGTGCATTTTATGGAATGGTGTTTCTATATGATTTTTAGAAAAAATACTGAAATACTACAAAAAGCCTGAACGTAATAATCAATTTTACTTATACTATAACCCCCTAATTCTAACTGGCCTGCTTGAGGAGCTGGTGCTTGAAATGCTCCAGCAGTTCGGGTGCAATCTTATCGGCAGTCAAGCTCTTGGCATTCAAGATCCCTTCATGGGCCTCCTGGAAGAGCTGCTTGCCCACCGCCTCCTCCACCTGCCTGCGCCACTCTGCCAACTTCGGCCTCTCCTCAAACAGGTCATAGCCAGCGCCCACGGGCTGCAGAGACAGAGCAAGAGAACGCAGGAGTGAGTCAAACAAACACCTGCCAGCGAGGGGACCAGACTGAAGCACAGATACGCTTTGGCTCAAGGCAGCAGGCAGCTGTAACATTAGGTGGGGTTCATCTCTGGTTCTTAGCTAGTAGGAAGCGTTGTCATGCTCAGCAGCTGCTGTCCCCTGGGATGTGCAGCAAAAGAGCACGGCCATGGCTAACCCAAAAACTGTCTAATGCAGATCACGGAAGTCCATGCACACCAACACATCTCTTCCTCGTTTCTAATTTACCATTTCTTCTGAGGAATTCTGTCCATACTTCCATAGAGAGAACTGTCTCAAAGTAGGTTGTTCTCTGGAAAACTCAATTATGGTCAAAGTCAAAAAGGAACAAGATTTAATTCCACTAAGGAGTTAACTGCAGGGAGAAAGATCTGCCATTAAATAGGTGGTGGTGTTGCAGCTACACCTTGGCCTGGCCTGCCTAAAACCCAGCTTGTATATCCAACAGTGCTTGGGTTGATGCTCACCTGCATGAGCTCCACCAGTGCTACAAGGTCTGCCAGAGAGACCTCGCTGCCTGCGATGAAGGGCTTGTCCTGCAAGAACTTCTCCTCAAACTGGTTCAGGACAATGTTGAGCTCTTCAGTAACACTTTCCAGTTTCTCTGGAGGAAGTGGCTGGCCTGTGAGGAGAGGCAGCAGCACCTGTCAGGGAGAAGAAACAAGTTGATTTTTACATATTTCCCTCCAAACTTAGTCTTCACCCTCCCACTGCCTCCTTCTAAGAATCCCGCACCAGCCATGCAGAAGAACAACTGGTACTGTTAATCTCCTTGGCTGTCCTTGTCTCCTCCCTAGAAACTCTGAAATTTCAACCATGAGTCTCATCTCAAGGGAAGACTGCATCATTGGCAGGCAACTACATTTTGTTTTCCAGCAGGAGGTTTGCTCTTTCCATGAAGCTGGGCAGAAGGCAGTGAGCTGTGTTGGGTGCTACCTGCTCACCCAGGGCGGGTTTGCTCTGGAGCTCAGTGCACGCACAGAGCTCTGGCTGCAGCATGAAGTATTCGGGTGTCCTGGGTTTGGCTGGGATAGAGTTAATTTTTCTTCTTAATAACTAGAATAGTGCTGTGCTTTGGATTCAGTATGGAATTTGGTGTGACAGGAATGTTGATAACACTGACGTTTTCAGTTGTTGCTACAAGATCAAGGACTCTCCAACTCCCCGTGTCCTGCCTGTGCGCAGGTGTGCAGGAAGCTGGGGAGGAGCACGGCCAGAGCACAGGGCCCAGACTGGCCAGTGGAATATTCATATCACGTAAGGTCAGGCTCAGTATATAGAGGAGGGGTAGCTGGGAAGGAGGGGGTTCTCTCTTCTTCGCTTCTCGCTTCTGGGATTGTGACTGCAGGATCTTGGCTTTTTCCAGGATCGCTAGCTGGGGACAGGCTGGGTATCGGTCAGTGGGTGGGGAGCAGTCACAGTGTGCATTACCCGTTTGTACTTTCTATTATTGTTTTATTTTATTACAATTATTACACTGTTTTTATCTCAACCTACAAGTCACCCTTTACCCCTTCAACTCCGTACCCCATTCCCTGGGGCCAGGGGGGTGAGCAAGCAGCTGTGTGGTGTTTGGCTGCTGGCCAGGTTCAAACCACGACATTAGGCCACTTCAGTTGGGCTCAGCTGAGCAGTCAAGTCAATTCCAGATCTAGTTTTGTTTCTATCTGCTACCTAGCTTGTACATTTGATTAGAAAGGCCCTGCACACAGGAGGTACTTCCTGGGCCATTGCACTCAGAGATCTTAGCGGTTAGTTTTTGGTACATAATGGTCTTACCTTAGTTAAGAACAGCTTGCTTCCCTTCCCACGAATGTTAACGTGCTGCCAGGACAGGTACTCATCAACCCGAGCCCTTTTCTGCAGGTCAGACGGGTACCAGTGATCAGGAGTCTTGAATTTCCGGGCCAGGTACAGGAGGATTGCAATGCTGCCCAGAGAGCAAGGCAGACCGGTGAGCTGATCATCTGAGATTAAAGCACCTCATCCTTTCTTCTTCCCTCAAATTTTGCACTGCTGGACCAGCGGCAGTACAAACCTGATCTGAGCCAGGTACAAGTGCAGGACATGCAGTTTCCAGCTAGGAACAGCACATGAGAGAGTTTGTGATGGCTTGACTGGCTGCTTGTGGACAGCGATTATCTGATACAGCCCAGTGAGAGACGTGGCCTGCTGGTACAGTTACCCCATCAACGTTTTTGAGCAAATAAGAGCCACAGAATGAGTTTATACCAAATCAGAGCTTGTATTGCCCGGCCATCCAGCAGTGAGTGCCTTACGTCAGATTTACCGCATCGACCTACAGCCTCCAGCTGAAGGCAGAGAGCTGGAGGCCACATGGACAGGTACTGAAGCTCAGAAACACTGCCTGCATGCAAGCTAGCTCTGAGCAGCAGCTCACAGATTTTTCCATAAACAATGCTGTTCAAGTTGCTTACATGAGGAAGCTTCTCTTGAAGCAGGTTTATGTTATGTACAAGTGGAACAGATAGGAAGGAGGCAAACAACTACCTGAGCTGGAGTCCCAGAAAAGACGGCACAGAGCACTGTCAGAATCCAAGCATTAGGATAAACAATACTGCAGTCGGGGGTTGAGCTTATCTGAGCCTCACCTCTCTGCTAAGGTGAAAGAACCATCCTTTAGCGCAGGCACCTTCATCAGGATATTCACCTTCCGGAACTCCTCCGTCCTGTGCTGCCCTGAGAAGGAAAGGGAAAAGTTTTACTTAGCAGTGATGCTCACGACCTGTCTGCAAATATCTGGAGTCCTGAGACCACTTGGCCTCAAGTTCCTGGTTTTGATTGTACAAACACAGTCTTGTTAAGTTTATAAGCAATCAGAAAGTGCCGCAGGGTGAATAGGGGGCTTGCCCTATGATGTCAGCTTACTTGCTTATTGCCTGCATACCAGAACCACCTCACAAAGGTCAGAATGGTTAAGAGTCCTTTCAGGCCAACAGCGCTTGTCAGCTCAGGGCTCTATCAGCTCTAAGTTAGTGCCTAGAGGTACCTGTCCTGTACAAACCCAGAGTGAACAACGAGCGCCTTGGAGGAAAGGGATCTCAGTATCAGAATCATGAACCACAAGGACAGTGAGACAGCAGTTTTTAATTTTTTTTTTTCCTGGAAGATAATGTAATTTATATTCAACTCTCTTTTTAGTCCTCAGATGAAAATAAATTTCTAGAATTCTATATAAAGCCATGGACACTTCATTACAGATCTATCAATCAGCTCTGTCTGTGGGTTTTGCCTATCTGTTGTCAGAACAAATATGGATTTGAGTTTGCTTTTAAGCTATCTTATAAGTCACCCCTGAAAGGCAGGCAGAATGAACCTGACAGGAGAAGGTGCTTTGTTCATCTGAGGTCTCAGCGTGCTCCATTACATCTGAACCTATTCCCAGAAGCCTCGTTTTATGTGACTCATTTGTGTCAGCCTTTTCCAGTGCCTGGCTTCAGTCACATGCATGTACATCTGTATTCAAGCTTCTCTAATGTCTAACACTGTACCATGTCGTGCTACGTGACTCACCCAAGAATCTCTGTGCCAGAGGAGATACTCTGGATGTGGTTTTAGTTTTCCCGCTACTTGGCAAACCTGATTTGTGACTATTCCCCTGTCACTTGACTCACAGCCCGTCCCCCCAACTCCCTTTCAAAAAGACATTGGGGTTTCCTACACACACTGCAGATTCCAGGTCCTCAGGTGTCCCTGGAGTGTTGTGTGATTTCTGTCCTCACTCTTTCTACCCGCTTCCTTGAGACCTATGCTACTGGGGGACCAAGAACTTTTCTAGGGGGACACAATTAACCCACCAGCTCAAATCTTAGTGTATGTTTCCTCACCTGGTCCTTACATACTGGGCAGTGGCAGGTACTAGTGCAGCGAGGGCACCCACACCGTGTCCCCGAGTGCTGGTTTGGGGGCTGGCGTGCCCGTGCCCGGCTGCCGAGCTAAGCCAGCTGCAGGTACCAGGGGTGCTGCCCCATGGCGTGAGAGGGGCACGCACCACAGGGATGGGACACACCTCTAGCATTCCCATAAGCCAAATTACCCATCTTAAATCCACGGACCAAGAGCAAACGCTGATGCCATGAGGCACAGATCACTGGGAAACTGTGTTTTAATTCATTTTCCTTCCTCTCAGTTCCCCTAATACCTGTATTCCAGTTGTTCCATTCTCCCTGATGCTCTCATTGCTTGCCTGCCAGTCTCCTCTCCTTTGCACCAGTGTCTTACCACCACAGTTTATTTATTAGGAAGGAAGAGGAAGGACACTAGATGAGCCTGCCCCCAGCTACAAACAATAGCAGAAGTTTTCCCTATGACAGAGGGTGGCGGGAAGCCGCAGTGAGGTGCCATCAGTGCACAGCTAAGGTGTGCAGGGGAACACCCAGAGACTGAACCGCAACACACCTGAGGTTTGAGTCACAAGCTGGAGCCTCTTTTGTTCCTTTATCAATTTGAGCTCCAGAAGCCTTCTCAGCTTTCGCTGGTTTTAAGCCCTGCTTACCAAGGCATTTTTATGCCAAATACACTACCTTAATTTCAAATCCAGCAGAGCTCTGGAAAGGTTGAAGGATGGCTTTTACCAGCTTCAGTTACAAAGAACGCAGATACACATCTTTGGGCATCCTTTGGTGAAAAATACATGATACCTCTTGGGCAGGCTCCTACCAATTATCAGTTGGTTTTAATACAACCACCCACCTTTCCTTCTTCACAGCATTGAGATCCCTGGTGGCTGTGCTGCCTCGCTCCACTGCCTTCACTGGCTTTGCCAGCCTGTTCTCAAACCTCTCCAGACAACCTGAGGACAGACGGCCTGCCCCAACGGAACACCCCACGGGGATGCTGGCTGTCCTGCCCCACCCGCACACGGGGAGACATCAGCAAGCTCTTGCATGAAGACCCTTGTAAGGGGCTGTTAACCCCAGCTAAGAGGAGGAGAAACGCTGCTCTGCAGCAAGTGCTGCTTACCAGAGCACAGTTTTCTAGGAAAGTTGAATTAGAGAGCAAGAACCACACACCTCACTGTCCTCGCCCACACGAGAGTGTCCCATCCCTGTTCCTTTTTGTTTGTCATCTAAATGGGGAATGGCCTCAGACCTAGCACATCCTGAGCGTTTCTTCTCAGAAAAACAGCTTTTTTTTCAGAGATCCATTTTCTGCTGGGGTGGGGCCGATTTCAAAGATCTCGCACACCTTCGCAGAGTCCTATTCGCTGCAGAGGAGCGCAGGCACCCACACTGCACCTTAGTCAGGGTTTCTTAAGGAAATGAGGTCTTGTTTGTGTCTCGGCAGGAGCCTCCTGCAGCTGGAGGGCCACCACACCCTCTTGCAGCATCCCGCACCGAGGGGGACGATTGAGTAACGCGGTCCCACCCGCGGCGCGGCTCCGCGGGGGCGGCTGGTAGCGAGCGGCGGGGGGAGCCGGGCGCCCTCCTAACCCAGGGGCTGCGTTCATGGACTTGAATATTTAAGCCCATACTTTTTTTTTTTTTTTTTTTTTTAAAAAAAAAAAAAA